GGGGGGGGGCGGTCCAGAACTCTAATCATTTTTTTGAATTTTGAAAAATGGGAGGCCAACTTCCCAGAGGTAAATATATGTACATTTATAAAGTCACAAGTGAATATAATACATATTCTTGATACATATTATAATCAGCAAACTAAAATAATTATTATAAATATCTGGCTATTATTATAGATATCTGGCAAAATCACATGATTTCCTTTGAGTATCTGATATATGTAGAAGGTTCATTCAAAGAGTTGTTTGAAACAACACAATAAACTGAATCGACAATAAGCCGAAATTATGTTTACTTACCTTTTCGATGGCTTCCAGCGCCGCTTCAGCACTCCCAGCATGAGTAAACCGACGAGGATGAGGCCTAAGCGCCAACGGGTCTCCGAGTCGCAGCTGCGTATCAAGCACCACCACCAGCACTACAATCGATCACTACCGGAATCACACAACCACCGCGGATGACCGCGTCGATCTTTTCAAAAGGATCTCTATTGTCCGCACATGAGTCACACCATGATTCCCTTCCGAATAAATCTTTTTTCCCCGCGCGAATCTTTAGTCTTTCAAGTCACGATATTCGATCGATCTCGCGACAATCAGTAGTCACTAGCTAAACGGATCGTCGTCGTTAACCGTTTCACGGAAGCACTTTCAATTACGGTACGGTGGATCACGTTCTGCCAATTTCAAGCAGCTTCTTGTCATCCTCGTTACTGTGCGCCCTTATTTGCCGAATACCTTGAATCAGAAAAATAATGTGTAATGTTTAAAATTGATATAAAATTGAAATATATGTGAACAGGTTTAAAATATGTTAATTATATTCTCGAAAAAAAGAATAATGAACTACAAGTGGTCAGAACTTTGCAGTTAGAAATAGAATTTATGTTAAAACATACTTTTTTTCTGTTTAATAACCTCAGTTGTTTTAAAACAAAACCATAAAATGTCCATTGATTGAGTCTTTAAAAATTAATCATACGCAATCATCAATACCGACATACAAAACAAAAATATTGTTTCAGCTTTAAATGAACATCGCGTAATATCTATACATTTACAAGCAAGGAATAATATTATTTCTCGTAAAGAATAAATTTTGTTCGATACTTTACGGTATATTGTTTTGTCAGCAGAAATTCAATAACAAAAAACAACAGATTTCGCGTGCAATCGTTAAATATGCAATTTATATCAAATGTTATATAAATAACAATTCACTTTTTCCATCACTGCGTTACGTTATATTCCGCCAATTCACAACACAAATGCAAACACTCGTAGCAAGTAACGCAACACGGTCGCGAAGATTCTATTTACCATTCACAAAGGATCGCATAAATAATAATGTATGTCGCTTGACAAATATTTATCCCGTTTCGTGGAATAATTCATTGCTTTTGGAAAGGGCGTCACGCCGTCGTCGCGAGAGAAAATTTGATCGATAACTCGGCTTGTACTCAAAGTTGCATTCGCAGCTCAAAATGCAATATACGTTTTTAATTCAATATTAAGAATTATTATCGTTAATTTTAATATGCATTTTAATATGCATATTGTTAATCACACTATTTGCAATCGCGACCGAATATACATCGCAGCGTTCGACGCGTCAGGAAAATTGGATACCTAACCTCAGTAACCGACGAGATGGCAGTACACATCCTCGATCTTCGGTTGAGTTCAAGTTCCGTCATATTTAACACACACACATACACATCGATCAACCAGACAGCGATTACAAGAACATAATATCAGTTCTGATGTAAACACTTCGTAATCATTCTCGTAATCTTTCATTTCTGAACGCGACCTTCCGTACGCCGAAATACGGTAAACGTCTCTACACTCCGCGACAAATTTCTGCGTGTATATTTGATGTTTCCATGAAGATTCTTTTCGCGATCGCTTCTTCAATACAATCATTTCCGGATATCGTTCACTGCCGCTACCACAAACTCGAAAGACATAAATAACGCACAATAGAATAATGCGAGCTGGCTTGCGCGGCTTTAACAATATGGCAGTTAATGGCGGTTGATTCGGCGGGAGATTAAAGAAGTACCGACGAAAACAGCCGAGTCACGCCCGAAGAAGCTTGAATCTTAATCGATAAATTTGCGCGAAAAATGAATAGCGAGATTGTACAACAATTGACAAACGGCAAAGAAATCGAACAAAAACGATCATCCTGCAGAATTGTTTATTAAATTTCAGTAAATAAAAGCTCGCGTTTAGGAATAAAATATTGCGAGAACACGTTGTGAAGAATTTACACTTTCGATATTGTCGTCGCATCGGTTGCACGTATGTGTAAAATGTGAATAAATGTGAATAAATTTGAATACCGATCAATTGGATCAAGAATTCGAGGGTGCATACTGTAGCAGCCGAGATTAAACAGTGATCAATCTCGTTTCTTTTCTCTTTTAACACAATAAATGTTAAGTCAAAAACTAATTAACATTCATGATATTAAAAATAAATAAATATAAATCAAAAATTAATTTTTTACAATGGAAAGTTAATAAATGTAATTTTGCAGAGAAAACAGCAAACATTGATTTCCGATATGGACTAGCAGGATACAGACACAGAACAGCAGGATAGGAAATGACGTTTAGACCTATATTAGAGCGACCTTGATTTGCTTTCTGAGATTATTGGTTTGCAAGCAATCACGATCGATGCGGCTGAGCGTCCAATTGCCACGAAATTGCATAACCCATGCTCAAAGGCTATTTCGGGCTTAACCGCAGTCATGTATGTATAAGGACAAGATACAAATGAATAAATCGATCAATATTTTATTTGTCGTGCACTGGAAGCATGTTGACAATGAATAGCATAGAGTATCAACGTGATATACAAAGGCAAATAATATAATCGTAATAATTTTACCCGGATATATTAAAAGAGCATTATGGAATATTAATGATTACCGTCGAAAATTATGATATAATTTAAATCGTATTTCGGAATCGTATAATCGTATGATTTAAATCGTATTTCGGAAAATATACGCGAGCAATGTATCGTAAATATTCATATTTAATTAAAAATGTATAAATAAATGACATGTAACATTATTATAAAAATGATATCAATATCTTTTTAAGAATATATATTCTTAAATAATCTCTTAAATTTCTTAATTTCTCTTAACTAATCAAAAATTTCTTTACATCATCTTTATACAAGAAAAGTAAGTCATATTTTGTTATTAAAGTATTCAGTTTCTAGCGCAATAAATTGATTTGCATATCTAATTACTGCATATTAAGTCAAATCTGGTTTGTGTTTAATGATGTATCCTATGATATTCTTGAAGACTATTTTTAAAAACTTCTACATTTTTAATCAATAGAAAATTATATAAAAATTATCCACTGATTATTTATATGAATGACATATTTTAAGTAACAATTTGCTCTAAAACTGATACTGATGTATTATATTATTAAATAATCATAAACATCGTGTATTAAAAATAAAAAAATTGTACATTCTATCATTATGATGTATTAAATTTGTTAATTACTTAATCAATTTCAATATTTAAAATGGCTATTAATTAACTATCTGAATATTCACAAGCTATAATATCGTTGTTTTTGTTACATCAAAAAAGAAGACATTTATATTTTCATAATTAATGTTCCACTTGCTTGTTATTATCGTTTGAAAATTCAGACGATTCATCATTTGAATATTCGAAAAACAAATACTTGCGATGCATATTTAATGGCAGATGCATATTATTAATTACGATTGCAACAAGATTCAAGTAGCTTGAAATTTCTCAAATATTCGTAGAAACGCGGCAATCGACAGCCCCATTTTACCTTGTAATTCGCATCATTTTCTTCGTGCATGAATAATTAATATCGTTAATTAGCGGATACTTCAATATACTATATAACTTTCCACATTCTAGTGCGCATTAATCGATAATAACCTCAAACAAGCTTCTGCGTTAGCAAGTGTAAAAGCGCCAGTGTTAAAGATTGCAAATATAGCACCTTACCTCTCGTTCATTTAGGAAAATCAAATCGCCAAAAGGCTCGCGCCTTGGAAAACGATAGCTCCCAGGATCACAGGACGATCAATAATCGTGTGCGAGTTCGGAACTGGAGCATCGCGTCGTATTGTCGCGAAAGGATATCCGAAGCTACTTGCGTTTCGAATCGCTTGAAATTCGATGCCATTTGCTCTCCGCCCGTGAGATCACGTGACCCTTTTCGATTTATTCAGAAACTGCGATGTGCAAATAGTGCAAGTAACGGCTCGCGGCAGACGTCAAAAGAGGGATATCGATCGGTTTACTCACCTCATTTTGCCGGTTCCGGGTTCAAGGGCAGCTTCCGGTTCCACTACCTCAGGAGACACGCGACACGATCGACGGCGATCTTACTGTTGACACGGCCGGCTTCCTACGCATCTCGGTGATTCAAACGACGTAGGCACGACGTCGTCTCCCGCGTGCGACGGAGACCCGGTTCTCGAAATTCGACACGGTGACCGCAATTCCGTGCGACGTACGGACGAACGGACAGGCAGACTGCGAGAGAAGCGATACAACGACGATATATATCACAACGCGAGCAGGGAACGCACTGGCGAAAGAGATGAACGAAAACTCGCGTGCGCACGGAGAAAAACAACTAACCGGACTGCGCGTCGAACACGAACTGAACTCGGCAGCGAGAGACAGAGACGACACACGTCTCACGCTACCCCCTCTCCGTCGTGCGCACACTGAGCCTACCCGGCAGGCGGCCAAGTCTCTCCCCACCACGGCGCGTTCACAACACAAGTGCGGCAAGTGCCTCGCTCGAGCCGAGCGAATTCTGAGAAGTATGTGGTAAGTAATACTCTGTTCAGTGTTTTTGTGATGTTTTGAAGCCTATTGTCTGTCTCGAATGCTTGTTTTGACTGATGTTAGTGCGAGATTTCAAAATTTTATGAGCGTGCTGTGAAGAAAAACATAGAAAATAAAATATGTAGCTCCCAAACTGATAAACGGAGTTTTCAAACTTATAATAGATGATTGGAAATTAAAAACGGTTACATTTTAATCATAAGATTTATATCTATTTAAGAAACGTAACACAAATTTTTTCTTTCTTTTCTGTTGCTTTTTCTTGAAATATTTTTTGTCCAATTTTATCAAAAATGCTTCACGCAAATTATCTAATACTACATAATCTTTGTATGTATTAATCGATACATATTATAATTTGAGTTTTTGAAATTGCATATCTAAGCATTAGATTTTTCTTATTCTTGTACTACAGACTTATATTTATATATCTAAAATACTTTTAGAATTTTTTGGTAACTTCAAACTTTCTGTTCTAACCTAACCTAATCAATATTAAATAAAGCTGTAAAGTTAATATAAAGTTAATATTAGTATATAATTCATATAATTCGTAAAATTAAAAAAAATTTTTTAAATAGCTTTGTTATGAAAATTAAATTCTTAAAGAAGTTTGTTTAGTTTACAATAAATACAAATTTCTAGTGCAAATAATTAATTAGCAATTTAGCGAGAATAATTAACTTTCCGAGGAATTATTTTAAACACAATAATTATTTTGAATGATTATATAATTATGCAATTTTATCAATAGAGGAATTACATTTTATTACATGATACATATGCATTCAGAATGCAATTGTGTATTCAATCTTATTGCCTATGATACATTTTCATGTATAATTGCGCCATAAAAATTTTATTAAAGTCTGCGATAGTCTCTTTATGGTGAGATTGAATAATACCGCTGAAAGCAAGAGAGATAAGATAAGATAGCTAATATATATCATTGTTTGCATTAATCAAAACTATCTGGTCAAATTTTCACAAAATTGTGTAAGATTGACGAAATTCACTGAATTAATTATATCTTTAAAAACAATGCTAAATAGTAAATATTTTCCTGCAGAAGTTTAATTCACAGAATTATCAAAACTTATATTACGTTATTATTGATTATAAATGAACTATAACAGAAATTGATATGCGGATTTGCAGTGTTGAACCGTTTATAAAACTTTTTCGAATATTTTTGCAAACCTGATGTGATTTAATAAGTATGCGCGCAAATGCAAATTGCTGTTTCTTCAAGTACGACTCTGTGCGCAATTTATCGGTATGTTAGCGACCATTTATCACACAGTGTAAAATTAATTTAGATGCGTACTACGTTGCAACGACCGCGTTCATGCCGCGGTACGTGGCTCTCGACATTTAACATCTGTCTACGTTATGCATATGCACATGTTACGCACCTATGCATATCCATGTATTTTACTCTCTTGCAGCATCCATTTGAAACGGAGCAGCGAAACCACGCACGATTTACCGGCTAATATATTCACAATGCGATATAGAGTACAGTTTACCTACAACAGTAATCAGTAAGACAGACGTGGGACATTTCTGCACACTTAATCTTGAATAATTACATAGATGCATTGTCAGTTATTTTATCACAAAAATTATTACAATATTGCAGAAATAAAAACATTAATATCGGCAAATCCATCAATTTATAATTAAAAGTCTTATTTAAAAAGATTGCAAGATAAACACTGTGATTAAAAGCAAACTTTTTAAAATTCTACTTTAATATCGCGTAACTCGTCAAATTTTGACGATAGTGAGAGTGCAGTTACTTTCTAATGCAAATGTATGCATGAAGGTGCACGTCAATTTTTCCAACGTATTTTGCCGCGCCAATTTTCCGCGAACGTCCGTCTTCCGAATGAGCGTATTTTTAAATGTAAATGAGGTTTAGCCCGTGGCTCCGTGCCGTCTAAATTTGCACGCGGAAGCGTCGTCGTTGCTATGGCTAATCGCGTGCAGCGGTGTGCCAATTGTTTCAACCCTGAGTTAGTGTTCATCCGTTCGCGTTCTCGGGACACGGCCGAGTTCGAGCGGCGCGCACAGCTGAGCCGGCGCTCGGCGCGGATGCATCGATTTTTCCCTCATCCGTTGCGCCGGAGAGATGCAGCTCGGATGCATCGCCTTGCATGGCTCCGCAGGCTGGTACTTGCCAACATCTCTTCCCACTCAGACTCAGTTTCACATATTCCGTGAAAGCGGAAGAGTTAACGATTGCTTCGATCTTTAACAATCGCTTTTAATTAATTTATTATTTAAAAGGCACTGTCTCTGAAAAAAAGAAGTAAAAAAAGTTTTTATTATTTAGTAGTTATTATTTCTTATTTTGCTTCAAGTCTGCGATTAAATGATGAACTCCATAGTCTGAAAAAAAAATTAATTTACGAAATTTTTAAAAGTCTTTAGTCTACTTGAAATACGAATATAAGACGATTAATATGGAACTTACAAATAATATTTTATAGACCTTATATAGAATTAGCTTAATACATATTTAACATAAAATTGATGTAATAAATCTTTTATAGAAAAGAGAAATTCTTAAAATTATATATGCATTATGCGTTGCAATAACTAGAATTTTTCTTACATAGCTACAATCTCGCTGTGAAAATTCATGGGAAAAGGAGAGGATCATTTCTCACTGGAAGGATAGGATCAAGGAATTCGGAGCCAAGTTCAGCAGCTATGAATGATGGACCAAAGAAGCTGCAGGTGAACGTCACTGATGGCCGGCAACGTTAACAACTGCAGCAGGACTGGTTTCTCAAGATTTCACGGCTCTTCGAACAGGTAGACCCCGCAGGACATGCGCGAGTGGCAAGGGTGGAAGAAATCGAAGGGATCGAGTACTCGGTTATGAACCCGTCATGGAAACTGATCGCTCTACGCGGGAGGTAACTCACTGCCGAGGTACGTCTTATTCATGAACGATCATCTACTTCTGACTGATCATGCCATGAGTATTTTCAACTCGGCTTCGAAATAACACTATGAAATCGAATAACTATGAATCGTTTCAGAGGCATAGTGGTTTTTTCTTAAGTGCACAATATATTATGCTTAATACATATATCAAAATTTTTTGAAAATAAAATTTTTTAATATCTTTCTTTCAAAATTTTAGTTTTAAAATTCTTAGTATTAAGTTTTTAAATATCAAGTTCAAAACAATTAATATTTAAAAAATTTAGTATCAAAATACTTCTTTTCTTTTTACTTATTTAAACAATAGTTAATTGTTTTACTTACTTGTTACTTAATAATTAAAATATAGAAGTTTAACTGAAATGTGTCAATTTGGTAATGTAGAACTTCATGCACTTAGGGGATGACCCTGATCCTATCTCCTAGGACGATGTCTACATTCAACAGTTTTACTATCGAGGACTCTCAGAAAGTAAAACTTTTGAGCAAGTATCTATTGAAAGTTTCATGGTCCATTTTATGCTCATTGCAAACTTTTACGAGAATTGCTCTCAGATAACAAAACTCCCAACTTAAATATAACGAAATTTCTTATATACATTGCAAATAGACTCTGTACAAATTAAAGTAAATTTTAGTCCTTTGAGAGATTGTCGTTTCTTATAAGAAAATATTTTTATTAGATGCAATAAAAATGTTATTAAAACTAGGCGAGATCTTTAAATCGAATTTTTTTTGCTGAAATCTTTTCAGTAATCTTTTCAACAATAAGCAATATGATCATATTTGACATAAAATCATATGTCTATGATACTTAAATATTTTGATTTTCTAAAAAGTTTTGCCTCAATATTGCGACTTCACAAAAATCCAATTTAAATTCGAATTACGTTGAATAAACGACCTCGGTTCCGGAGTGTACGTCACTCATCTCGAGATCGATCGATCACGGTTGTACAGTTTGACGTCGCAGAAAAAGGGTGAGGCGATGGCAATGGGCACGATAGGAAACTGGATTGATTTTCAGCTCGTGCATTCGCATTCGTCTTGTCGTGTCCGTCTTTATATTTGCTACTGAAAGAGAGAGACAGAAAAGGGATTGAACATGCTTTTTTCAGATCCTTCATTCACTGTTTTGCTGGACCATCTGGTCTTCCACCTGTGCCCAACCAACTGTTTCTTTACAATTGCCACTCGAGCACGTGCGGTTTTTATTTTGAGTCTCTTTCAGTTTCTTATGTATTTTGCGACGACAGAATAGCGAGAAAGATAATATTGATGCATGTTTAAAAGACTACAAGCCGTGTTTTTTGTTCCACTATAAATTTCCGTACTTTGATGTTGAAACCAGACGAGTGCTAGAGTTGAATAAATTTACTTTTTTCGATGAGACTTTTTTCTTTGAGAAAATGTCAAGATATATAAGATGATTATAAATTTGCACAAACGTTTATGAAATTATTTGACAATTTTTGTAATAAAAATGTCGAAATCTGTGTTATTTAAATGTGACAAAATATTTTTTAAATATTTTACTTGCTTGGAAAACGTATAGAATACTCAAAGTTTGTAATAAATTTTTGACCGGTTACGGAAAGATAGGTCTGAAACTTACGTAACGCTCTAATATACGTATATATTATGAAAGAATAATTAGTTATTGTGATTACATATTGCTCTCTTTTTCTGCACATATATAATTACCATAAGGTCGACACGAACCCACGTTAAATGAAAGCCATAATAACCTTTCCAAGCCTTTGTTGGACGATGTCCAGTAAAGTACTGCAATATTACTATATAATTCTGCATTACGCAAACTTTAACGAACTTTCCTTTGAGTGTTTTTAAAACAAGAAAGCACAAGGTAAAAAATAAAAATCTCTACTTATAAGTCTTGAGAAGACTTTATTAATATAATATATAATCTTATTAGATAATTATAATCTTATATTTTATTTCAATAAAAAGAAATTTTTAAACATATATATTGATTAAAAACAATTAGAAATTATAACTGTATACTACATATTGGAATTGTTTATTTTATATTTTAAAAATTATAACCATGCAATTTCTGCTTCTTTAGAAAAAGTAAATTTTTAATTGCACTTATTTCATTGTTGCCTTTATTATGTGACATCCGTCATGTCTATAAAAATAAGAACATTAATTTAAAAAAAAGTGGTTCCGGCCGGGATCGAACTGGCGACCTTCTGCGTGTAAAGCAGACGTGATAACCGCTACACCACGGAACCTTGATGTCTTACATTTTTCATTGAGACCATAACAGCGTCTCACATTTGTTTTATAATTTTTATTTTTAAATTATGTTACTTATTATTAGAAATTTATCTCTAAAATATTATTACATATGCAAGTTGTAAACCATCAAATCACTTTCATGAAATTCATTTACAAATTATATTCACACTCTCAGTCGATAAATTTCACGACTTTGTTTCATATAATACAGATGGCAACTGTAATCCACACGCGCGTAGCGTTTATCGTTTTATACTCAAAAATATAGATAAATTAAATTTATCAAACATTATATTAGTAAAATTTAATTAATTTGTTTTTTGTTTGAATATGAATATATAAAAATTAGAACACCAAATTATCTTTATCGCATTGATCTTTTTTATTTTGATTTCACATTTTAATATAAATTTTTGCATTATACAATGAGTGAATGTTATATTATATATTTATTGTTTGGATTGACATAATTATTCAGTCTGATTTAATTTACAAATGGCATTGCTATAAAATATAAAATTAATAGTTTTACGTAGATTAAGAATACAATACATGATCGTTATAAATAAATATGCTAAGAAAAATAAGAGAAAATGTTTTCAAAATATTATGTATACTTTTTACAATATACAATAGAACATTATTGATATTGATAAATATATATAATTTAGGTCAAAAAGAGTTACTATTTTATCAAATAATAAGTTATTATATGATTCAGAAATGTGCGCAAACTATAACATCACAAAATCAAAAACTGTCAGTTTCAAAGCTCTGTAATTATCTGTACTATCTAAATTTTTTAATAATTGTCACTGATTAATGTCCTAATACACATTAACAGTATATGATACACTGATAATGTGTATCGACTTTAAACTCGAGATAATTTGACAGAAAAGTGCTGTGAGTACATTATCAGAAATAAATTTCTTTATTTGCGAGATTAATGGAAGTTTTCTCGATATTAATTTTAATTAATTCAATTATGTAATTATTAATTCAGTTATGTAAATGTTAACTGTTTATAGTTTTGCGATCATCTGCCTTACAAGCATGTTGAAATATTATGTATGTCACATATAATCAGTATCACATATGTAAGACATCACTAAATGCAACGAAAAGGCCTATGCACTTAGATATTTTAGATAAGATATATCAAATGACAAGGATATTATTAAGACGCAGCAATGGTATCAGAAGAAGTACAATCGTTGAAGAATTGACTTCTCAAGTATTAAATATTTCGTGCAAGAACAATGACATTGTGCGAACCAGAAGATCCGGCGCATTGCAACTTACAGACGTGGATTCAAATCATTCAGATTTTGTGTAATTTCATATTAGGCGTGAGTATACTGTATTTATATTGTTATTTACAACCAGTATTTTTATTCTAATTTCTATTTATTTTATCTTAATTAATAGTAAGTGTATTACAAAGGCTGTCGCTTTTCAGTTGGCAGGGAAAGGTGGAATAAGCTTGTACATTCTGACAAAATTCGATTATTTTAACGACTTAAAGTTGTTTGATCATTATGAGATCTTAAACGTGAATGTTTTTTTGGCCTCCTCGGTTGCACTGACTCTAATTAGTTGGGTTGGTGTTTTTGCTGGTACGAAAAAATGCGCTACATCGTCGCTTACAGTAAGTTAAATCATCCTTTGACACTCAAGAATGCGTGATACATGCATTTGTTCTAATTTTGATGTTTTCTGATATTTTCAGTACACATGATTTATAATTGTTTAAATTATAATTAAAATCGTATGTTGATGAAATTAATTTAACAGCTTAATTTAACCCAAACATTTATTTATAAAATACTTTTATTCTTTCTAATGTATTAATATTTATCGTATTTTATTACAGTATATTAATTATAAAATATAAAAGAGTACTTTTATAAATTATAATATTAATGCTTTTAATATTATATTATAATGTTGCTACCACAAAATATGCTTTAATACATAATTTTTTCTGTACGTTATATAAATATTATAAAATATTAAAAATTATAATTATTCCCTAGAATGGATTGTTATTAGGCGGATTTGTAATAGGCACTACAACTTATGTTGCTACAATGGGTATAATTACCGATTATACGAAAACCGGCGATTTATATAATCAAATGAAAACAGAGATGGAAGAGTATGCCATTCATTCAAATTTCATTGATACTCTACAAACCACTGTGAGTGTGCACGTTAATTAAAAATTAATTGCGTCAAAATAATTATAATTAGTTAAATTTTTTTAAATTAAATTAAATTTTTTATTTTGTTATATAATTTTTTAGATATTAATATTGCTTATATATAACATAAGATAACATATCTAACATAAGATAAGACTTATTTAAAAATTTATTATTAAAGGTAATAATTGGTTACATATTTTAATTTTTGAATAAAATTGGAAATATACTATTATTATTAATTGTTAATTGATATTAATATAATTTTTTGGATGTAAAAATATTGATTTTATTAATAATATGAAAATATTTTGCACATAAATAATACAATATATATATATAAAATTACAAATATAATATAATTATTATATAAAATATATATTTATTATATTTTATAATAAAGTATTTTAAAAATATGCATACTTATCACATGTAAAAAAGACAAATTGTTTTAAGAATCCTCGGTAGTATAGTGGTTAGTATCCCCGCCTGTCACGCGGGAGACCGGGGTTCGATTCCCCGCCGGGGAGGTTTCTTTTTTTCAACGCATATTTTTTGTTTTGCTTTAAAAGTATAAAAAATTATTAAAATTTTTTACAAAACTTGTGTTAATTATTTATATTAGTGTTTTCAAATTTCTGGGACAATATCAATAAATTATTAACTGAAGTACAGAAGTTTATATTTTTTATATCTTGTACATGTATAGGTACAGATTGTATTGTTAAAACCATTATCAATTAATCTTTATATAAGTTGCTTAATTACAGTTAATTGATTTTTAATGAAGATTTTATTGCTCGACTTTTTCATATATAACATCAAATGTTTTATTTAAACGACTAATTAAATTCCGTTAAATTAAATTCTATTTTGCTTCTAATTAAAATTGTAGCTTTTGTGTTGTGGACTCGATGGCGTCAACACGTGGGATGGAAGTTATATTCCCGAATCTTGTTGCCGACACCCTTCAAATTTAGCATGCACCATAGATTCTCCTAATTTGCAAACAAATGGATGCTTCGAGGAGTTTGTTCGTACGGGGCGTTATTACGCTTGGCTTCTTTATTCTATTCTTGCGTCTTCCGGGCTTCTCGAGGTGAGAATGTTTAGAGTTACTTTACAGAAAATAAATACACAGTATTTAGTAAATTCTTGTTAGTCATACATATACACTACAAAATTTTCCGTCTTATCTATAGAACTGCATCTCTTTCAATTTTTGTTTAACTATTTCTATTTTACAAGAGTTTTTTAATTTTTACATTTTCTTATTTATAAGAATGAATAATACTGAATTAAAACTATTTTAAAGTAAAAAATTATTTAAAATTAAACGAAGAAAAAATTTTATTACTTTTTTAAATGTGGTCTTCAAAGAGAATGAAATTACAACGATCAGGATAATATCATTTA